CCACCGCAGCCTTGACCTGCTGGGCTCCGGCGATCCTTCTGCCTCAGCCTTCCAAGTAGTGGGAATTATAGGCATGCACTACCATGCCCGGCTGATTTTTTGATTTATTATAGAGACGAGGTCTCCGCTGCCCAGGCGGATCTTGAACCCACGGACTCAGACAATCCACTCACCTCAGCCTCCCAAAGGCGCGGGATTACAGGCTGAGCCACCGAGCCCAGCCTTTCTTGTAATTTTTACATGTGTCAAGATAGTGTTCTTTTGAATTTTTTCCCCCAACCATTTTAAAATGAAAAAAATCATTAGTTCACAAGTCGTATACAAGCAGGTGGTGGGCCACACAGTTGTTGAAGAAGCTTAAATAACTACATGTTCTGGCAGTAGATTTAATTCCATCCCAGGTCAAGTCAGTCCTCAATCAAGACAACTTCTGACTGGGTGTTGTGGCTTCATTTTCTTTTGAACCACCCCAGAGAATGGCTGGCAAGAGGAAGAGAAACACATGATTGTATTTTCACCTAAGACCCCATCAGAGAAGAGGAGACATGAGGGGAAGGATGGGGAATGTGGTCATTATTGGATCAATTGCTTTATGTTGCTTTTGATAGCAATGTATAGAATTAAACACAATGACAGCTGAGTCTTGGACAACGTGGATTTGAACTGCATGGGTCCATGCAAATGCAGATTTATTCAATAAGTATATTGGAATTAAAAAAAATAGAAAGAGAAACAGAATCCAGTCCAGGCAGTAGGATCGGGTGCAATAATAGCACATAATTTGTAGCCACATATTTATGTTTGACAGTACCAATAACAAATAATTTCATTATAAATGTAGGCTTAGAAACCAGAGTTATAAGAAACCTACCAAGTAGTTTCTTCAGCAAGTGCTTGTCCGTTGGAGTAAAGATTGCAAGCTACTCATACTCTTCCAAATGATGGACTTGAGTTATGACTCAGAAGAGCTATCATCATGTTGCTTCTCACAAGTCATGTCTTTGATAATTAACCAGCCTCCAAACTGCCATTCTCTAGTGGTATGAATATCCTATTTAGAATTATTTCCACATGCTTAATGGTTCAGGAAGGAGAAAAGCAAGGGGTATCTATCTCACAATCAAATAACTTGACTAGGTATAGGTCTAATGGAGGCATCTCCAGTCTGAGGCACTCAAGACCTAAGCTCTTGTGCTAGCTCTGCTCGTTTTTATCCCTGTGACCTACAGAAAGTCACCTTAACCCTCAGATCCTCAAGGGTTCTTCATCTGTACACTGGGCCAGTGCAATGTTTGTCTATGAACCTCATATGATTTTATGAGGTTCACATGAAACCCTGGGTAGAAAAAATGTTTGTAAAGCATAAACTGCTGGAGAGAATATTATACAAAGTCTTTGAAATGATTGGTATCAGCCGGGCTCAGTGGCTCAGCCTGTAATCCCGCACCTTTGAGAGGCTGAGGTGAGTGGATTGCCTGAGTCCGCGGGTTCAAGACCCACCTGGGCAACATGGCGAGACCTCACCTCTACAATAAATCAAAAATCAGCCAGGCATGGTAGTGCTCACCTGTGGTTCCAGCTACTTGGAAGGCTGAGGCGGAAGGATCGCCGGAGCCCAGCAGGTCGAGGCTGCAGTGGCTGGGAGCAGCCACTTGCACTCCAGTCTGGGCAACAGAGTGAGACTCCAACTCAAAACAAAACAAAACAAAAAGAAATGACTGGTATCACAGATGGGTTCACAATTATAGGTGGAAAATGTATGGAAGTACCACGGGGGACCTCTTGAAATAAGATTTAGTCCTACTACAAGAACTTCATCATCCCTGGCAAATAATTTTAATGTCTTTGTATTCCAGCTACCTCTTTGTATTGGGTTATTGAGCACCTTGGATGTGCCAGGTACCAATGAGTAACATATCTGAAAGCATTTAATATGGTAGACTCCTAGGAAATATTAGTCTCCTGACAACTCTACAAGCTATTTCACAACTTTCTCTAGAGCAACGCTATAAGATAGGCAATCTTTCTGCTTCATAGTTAAATAAATTGAGGTTAGAGTTAGGCAGTTAGTGGGTGATAGAATCTTTCTAGCTTTAGAGCATATATATGTATTTTTTCTTTTTTTCTTTTTTAGTTGTCTCACTCTGTTGCCCAGACTGGAGCACAGTGACATGATCATGCTTCTCCACAGTCTTGACCTTCTGGGCTCGGGCATTCCTTCTATCTCAGCCACCTAAGTAGCTGGGACTACAGGTGTGCACCACCATGTTCCACTAATTTTTTTTGTGGAGACGGGGCTTTCCATGTTGCCCAGACTGGTCTCAAACTCCTGGACTCAAGCAGTCTTCCCACCTTGGCCTCCCAAAGTGCTGAGATTACAGATGTGAGCCAACCACACCCTGCCTAATTTTAGATACTACACCACGCTTCCTGAGGGGATGAATTCTTGCATTTGCATAAGAGAAAGATAGGAAGATGGCATAGCTAACACAGAATGGGGACGCCATCTCTATAAATAACTGCAGTGCTTACTGCTGCACGGTTAGGGTTCTAAAACTCTTTCCCTGAATTTCTGCATCCTGCATTCATTCTTGTTCTTCCAATCCACAGGTGTCTGAAGAATTATCGGTATGTTTGCTACCTCTTTGCCGTGGGACTGGATGGGCTCTGCTATCTCTGCCTCCCAATGCTTCAAAGTCTTCCTCTGCTCGTGCCTTTCTCTTGTACCTTTGGCTACTTTGATGGTGCCTACGTGACCTTAATCCCAGTAGTGACGGCAGAGATTGTGGGGACCACCTCCTTGTCATCTGCGCTCGGGGTGGTGTACTTCCTTCATGCTGTGCCGTACTTGGTGAGCCCACCTATTGCAGGTAAGTTTCCAGAGTGAACCCCCAACCATCTGTTCTGTTTGTCATATTTATGTGAAAACAGCAAACTTACACAGAGACAATGAGAAGGATTGGCTGAGTCAAAGAGAAAAAGGATGTGAGAAGCCACCAAAAACATCATGGGTCCCACCTGTGTTCTTCTTTTATGATTTTCTTCCAGTCAAGTGGGAAGGAACCTTCGTCTACCTGGAAAGAAAAAGGCCCAGATTAGAGTCTTGATTACTTTCCATACTAATGATGGGAGCAATGGAATGGAGCAGTTGTTCAGACATATAAACAAGTAGGGCACAGCCGGGCTCGGTGGCTCAGCCTGTAATCCCGCGCCTTTGGGAGGCTGAGGTGAGTGGATTGCCTGAGCCCGCAGGTTCGAGACCCGCCTGGGCAGCGAGAACTCATCTCTACAATAAATCAAAAAATCAGCCGGGCGTGGTAGCGCATGTCTGCAATTCCAGCTACTTGGAAGGCTGAGGCGGAAGGATCGCCGGAGCCCAGCAGGTCAAGGCTGTGGTGGCCGGGAGCAGCCACTGCACTCCAGTCTGGGTGACAGAGTGAGACTTCAACTCAAAAACAAAAACAAAAACAAAAAACAAGTAGGACACATTCAGAGGGAAGTCTAGTGGGAGTATGGGATTAGACTAGGGGGCAGTGGGTGGTGAGGCTGAAATGATAAGTGCCAGGCAAAGGAGTGAGGCTCTATTCTTCAGAGACTATGGGTGTTACAGCCAAACCCAGGTTCTTATGCCTGCTGCCTGGAAAAACCAAAGCTGAAAAAGCCATTGCAATGGAAAAAGTTTAATATCACAGAGCAGCTAAGTGAGGAGGGTGGAAAAAAATCTCTCAAATCTGCCTCCCCAAAGATTCAGAGGATAAGATTTTTTTTGGAGGAGACGGTCTGATATATTTCACACACACACACACACACACACACACACACACACACACACACACACACAATTTTATTTTAAATATGTGGGATACAAGTCAGGATTGGGTATATAAGTGGTCTAAGTACAGGTGAGGTTTTAGGTCTCCCATTAGACCCCACTTCACCTGAATTAGGATCAGGCATGCTTATTGATGTTATGTGCCCCTTTTCTCTCCCCCCGCCCCACCCTGCAGTGTCCTGTTACTGCCAATCTCTTTTTTGTAGTATTAGGATAGGTGTTTAGAGTTCACTTATAAGTACTCAGTTCTTTGTTTCTGTGATAGATCACTGAGTGTGATAGACTCCAAATCCATCCAAGTTGCTGTGACATCCATAATTTTGGTAGATAAGACTTTTAAAGGGAACTTGGCAGGAAGAGGGACAGAGGCTGCTGATTGATTGATGTCACTGGGGATTTCCAGACTGTCCTCCTGGAGTCCTATGATCGGTAGAGGACCACCTGGTGCTCTGGGCCTGGGTAGGAGCTCAGATCCGCCAGAGAACAAAGTCTAGAAAAGATCTCAGATACCATTATTAGATTTTACAATAGATGCTGTCTATAAAACAAGTCCCCTGACATAACCCTTATGGAAGCAATCCGGGAGAAAGACCTAGGGAGCAGTAGGGTCCCTGGAGATTGAAACAGCTTTTTTTTTTTTTTGAGTTGGAGTCTCACTCGGTGGCCCAGACTGGAGTGCAGTGGCTGCTCCCGGCCATCGCAGCCTCGACCTGCTGGGCTCCCGCAATCCTTCCGCCTCAGCCTTCCGAGTAGCCGGAATTACAGGCGCGCGCTACCACGCCCGGCTGATTTTTTGATTTATTGTAGAGATGAGGTCTCGCTTCCCAGGTGGGTCTCGAACCCGCGGGCTCAGGCAATCCACTCACCTCAGCCTCCCAAAGGTGCGGGCTGAGCCACCGAGCCCGGCTTGAAACAGCTTTTTTGTCTTTCAAATGACTAATTGTCTCCTCAAGCAAATGTTGATTGGCCTTGTTGGGACAATATTCCCTCCTTCCCAGGGGTTGGGACACGAGGGAAATTGGAAATAAACTTAGAAGCAATATATTCATTAATTTCTAATCATAGCTGCAGCTTTTGCCCCTTGACTCGATATTAATTCTATATAGGTGGTTCCATAGGTAGTATTAAAAGTTTTTGTGCAAAGGAGTAATATGGTGAAGAGTGCATTTAGAAAATGTGATTTAGCAATTGATCTAGTAATTTAGGGCAGTAGGAGTTAGGATTTCATTCTAATAGTTGAGGAGTAAACTGAAAAAGGCCTGAGCTAGGGCTGCTGCCTCAGAAATGAAATAAGCTCTGGGGACACGGAGGACATTTTGGAAAACAGAATATCAATGGAATTTGGCCTATGGAAGTGAAGGAAAGAAGGAAGTCAAAGATGACTTGAAAATAATGTTATGGTTGAAAAAGATAAGGAAATTGGACAAAGAGACTTGGCCTGAAAAATAATGAATTAATGTTTAGGTATATTGAGATAGCTGAACTATACAATGAAAATGCTCAGTAGAGCTGTTTAAGAATGAAATCTGTTTAAGGATGAAATCTAGAATGTTTTGTAAACTATTAAATGCTGTAGAAATTTAAAGCATGATTAAACAAATAATTGGACAAATATTTATTGACATGCATTAAACAAGTAAATCAACAAATATTTATTGCTTGTGTAAGTAGCATTTTGCTTGGTGGGTTCGAGAGACAGCAGCAAATAGGTCAGAATCCATTTCTCCTTCCTGGAGCATGTGGTCTAGACCAGTGTAACTCTGAATGAGCTCCTGAAACAACCTGTATCAGATTCCCCTAAAGCTCTTGTTAAAATGCAGATTCCAAGCCGGGCTCGGTGGCTTAGCCTATAATCCCGCGCCTTTGGGAGGCTGAGGTGAGTAGATTGCCTGAGCCCATAGGTTCAAGACCCTGCCTCATCTCTACAATAAATCAAAAATTAGCCGGGCGCGCCCCTGTAGTTCCAGCTACTTGGAAGGCTGAGGTGGAAGGATCGCCAGAGCCCAACAGGTTGAGGTTGGCGACAGAGTGAGACTCCATCTCAAAAAAAAAAAAAATGCAGATTCCAGCCAGGTGCAATGGCTCACACCTGTAATCCCAGCACCTTGGGAGGTTGAAGTGAGAGAATTGCCTAAATCCAGGGGTTCAAGACCAGCCTGGGCAACTTGGCGAGACTTCATCTCTACAATAAATAAAAAAATTAGCCAAATGCAGTGGTGAGTTCCAGCTGTTTGGAAGGCAGAGACAGAAGGATCACCTGAGTCCAGCAGGTTGAGACTGTGGTGGCCGTGAGCATCCCGCTGCACTCCAGCCTGGGCAACAGAGTGAGACTTCTACTAAAAAACAACAACAAAAAAATCAGATTCCTTGACACTCCCACTTGTGATCTGAATCTTTGGGGGCGAGTTTCAGAAATCTAAATTTTCAACCGGCTTTCCTGTGATGCTTATGCATAGTAAATATTGAGAGTAACTGGTCCAGATTATTACCTGGCTGAATTTAAACTGGAATAGCAAACAAGGTCTCCAAAGATAGGCAAAAGAAAAATGAGCCCTGAACGTTTGCTGAGAAAGAAGGAAGGGAATTTCTGTTTTAGAAGAAGGCAAAGTTTTTGCTATTAGTTTTGTTGTGAATAATTTCAGACTATTTGTATTTTTATTTTTTGAGTTGGAGTCTCACTCTGTCGCCCAGGCTGAAGTGCAGTAGCACACTCACGACCACTCCAGCCTCCACCTGCTGGGCTCAGGTGATCCTTCCATCTCCACCTTCCAAGTAGCTGGAACTACAGGCATGTGCCACCATGCCCAGCTAATTTTTTTTTATTTATTGTAGAGATGAGGTCTCACTAAGTTGCCCAGGCTGGTCTCGAACCTGTGGACTCAGGCAATCCTCTCAACTCAGCCTTCAAAGTGCTGGGATTATAGACATGAACCACCGCACCCAGCCTTCAGACTATTTTTAAAATCCAGTAATTGAAGGCGGGGGGCGGGGGAAGCAGAAAACTAGGGGGAAATTGCAGCTGCTTGCTGCAAATGAAAAATCCTGATTAGTTTGAACTCCATGATATTGGAGAACTATGTTCAGTGCCTCATTTTTGAAAACTGCCCCCAACATGTTCAAATATCCTCCCTCCATGGCCAGTGTTAGTGTTCACCAATCTTTAAGAACTGTGTCATTCTATTAAAGGTCACAGGACACAAATGAAATTGGGATTCCTGGTTCCTTTTTTCAATTCATGGCTTTCATTTGTCAAATCGACATTGTGCGCATTACTGGGAGTTAGAGGATTAGGACACGAGTTCTTATTGTAGTATTTCTCATATAAACAAATTTACTTTTCAAATGACAACTCTACTCAATCTTTTTTGTTAGTGCTACAGAAATGCACAAGTCAATCACATGATAGCTAAAATATTTGAGAGTAGGTTAAATTGCAAGAAATTTTGTGGGACTTATGACAATTTCTACATGCCATTTTGACTAATGGGCTTGAAGTGGGTTAGAGGTGAAACTATATAATTCATTGGTGGATTATCTTGGCATAAAATAAAGATTAAAGAAATTAAACTTTTCAGTAATCACACAATAATTGCCTGTCAAGGCACAATTTTACTCTACTGATTTTCTGATCATTGTGGCTTGTATTGTGCATATCCTGTGTCCTTATTTTCTTCAAAATTTAAAGCTGGGATAAATAAACACATATTTAGATTAATGTGTTGCAACAAGAGATAAAGGAGGGAAAAACAGTGGTTACAAAAGTATTCCTTCAGAAGTGTGCATTTGCAATGTCTAAAATGGCCTAGGTTGGATGCAGTGGTTCATGCCTATAATCCTAGTACTTTGGGAGGCCAAGGTGAGAGGATTGCCTGAGCCCAGCAGTTCAAGAGCAGCTTGGGCAACATGGTGAGACCTTGTTTCTACAATAATTAAAAAAAAAAAATAGTCAGGTGTGGTGGCATGTGCCTGTAGTACCAGCTTGGGAGGCTAAGGCAGAAGGATCACCTGAGCCCAGGAGGTCGAGGCTGCGGTGACCATGAGCATGCCACTGCCCTCCAGCCTGGGTGACAAAGTGAGACTCCAACTCAAAAAAAAAAAAAATAAATGGCCCAACATTCTGATCTTCCAACTGTATGGGGTACAATGACTGAATCCAGTTGAAGATTTGGGTACTGCTTTGAAGCATGTCATGTTACTCAAGATAGTGTAAGGGAAAATGCTGGAAATACTACTATCATTTTGCATGATTATATTCTCTTAACACCCTAGATAAATTATCCCAACTTCAATAATTTGAATGATACTATTTTTATCTTTTCTACCGGATTTCATAGGGTTAATAACAACTAATATTTACTGCATGATTACTAAGTACACGATACTCTTCCAAGCACTTTACATAATAACAACAATTAATTCATTTTAGAAGTTTCCCTGGAAAATAGAATCTATTTTTCAGTTGCTGTGTGATGTTTTCAGGCGATCTGCTTTCTGTCTCCAAAGTATAATGGTGGTGTTAGTGATCTATTGTTATTATCCTTAGGAATTATTAGATTTGAGAGTAAGTCATTGAATTTTCAACTCAGCAATCTAATTTTGCTGTTGTTTGTCACAGGATGGCTGGTGGATACGACTGGCAGCTACACTGCAGCTTTCCTTCTCTGTGGATTTTCAATGATATTTAGTTCTGTGTTGCTTGGCTTTGCTAGACTTGTAAAGAGGATGAAAAAATCCCAGCTGCAGTTCCTCACCAAAGAATCAGATCCCAAGCTGCAGCTATGGACCAATGGAACAGTGGCTTATTCCGTTGCGAGAGAATTAGATAAAAAAGATGGGGAGTCTGTGGCTACAGCAGTGCCTGGCTATACCCCCACGTGACCAAGGGCCTTGAGTCTGGGAATCTTCAGGGTTCAAAGAGGTGGGGCCACCAGATTGTTCATGTTTCTGAAGCGTTTTATTTTGGCAGAAGTATTGCCTTCCAAGGAAACCATTATTATTGTTTTGTTAACATATTTATAAGGGAAAAATAGTAAATCATACAGCACGTTGGACTAGCCCAGAGGTTCCTCATTTGGGATTTGTACTCACAACTGAACTCACATCTTTTGGGCAATGAGCATTACTATGTGGGGAATGTATGAACACAACTGTAATTAGAGGTGATTTCAAGGCAACACAAAGCAGATGACACTGGGCAGCTGCTCCATCCAAAAACATCTGCCTCTCCATTTTTCCCTCCTCAGTTAGAAGGTCAATGGAACATTGATGTGTAAGTTTGCTTACCTTGTGCTGTTTGGAGAAAAGAGGTCAGCTTGGGGTATGGTGGTGGAGAGGGAGAGATGCCAGACCATCTTCATAGTGGAGTTTCTCACTAGGGTTTTAAGTAGGGTTAAAGAATACTCGAGATTCTTCAAAAGGTAATAATTAATATAGAAAAAAAATCCCCCTCCCACTCTTTCTCTCTCATTCTATCTATCTTCTAGCCAGTCCTTGCTTCTACCAAAGGGTAGACACCACTTTGAGAACCCAAGTAATCATGGAATGCCATGATGGGAATAGATCTTAACAGATAGCTGGTAAGATCTCTATTTGACATTGTCCACTGGAAATTGAAAGCTCTTTTCCTAAGACTGTGTCCCAAGCCTTCATCTCTGTTACTGCCACATATGATACTTATTCTAAATTTAGCAGAACATACCAAGTCGCTAGGGTGACCTCTCAATCTTACCTGAAATGTTAACAACAGCAAACTTCCCTTTTTCCCTTCAGAAAAAAAACTCTTATTCAAACTGCAGACACTTTACTGTTAAGAACAAAAGAAATGTTGGCAGTATTCCAGTTGGGCAGGAATTGAATTCTTGAATCAGCAGGTCTCTGGTGGGAGGGTTTTTTTTTTTTCCAGATCAGACATTTAAGTTCATCATTACTCATAACAGGATTTGGGGGGTTTTCCCTGAAAAATATTTTCCTAGAGATATTCTAAAGGTGAGATTCTTCTCTCCCTGTGTTAATTCTTGTTCCAGTTCCACTGTTCTTCATCTCTTTGTGGATAATAATTAGAAACCCAACTCCTTGGGTTAGAAGTTTATTCATTCCCAATATTCCACTTTTCTATGGATTGGGTTAATTTCTGAGTCTTCAGATTGAAGAGATAGGGCATGGAGACAGAAAAGAAAGTCCATATCCCTCAGCTCATCTCCCAATTATTTGAAGTCCATAGAATTGTAATCTCCGATCTCAAATCATGTAAATAGGGGCTACTTAAGCAATTGATTTTTAGGATTCAAGAATTTAAAATCCGAGTGTCAAGGAAATAGTTTGACCCTAAAGGCTATTTAATCCACTGTCCCCTAAGAAGTTTCACAAGTGCTGGGTTGGAGGAAGGGAACATAGCAATAAGGAAGATTCTGAGTTCTGAGCACGATCTGCAAGGGGCGTGTGCCTCTAACTGGATATTTCATAAAACCACATTAATATGTTGCTTTTGGAATGAGACACTGACTTGATTTGATGGGAGACAATGGTAATAGTTCATAGTTGTTTTCCAAAGAGAAATTTGAGTGTTATCTGTTATCTCTTGGCTTGATTTGAGAATTTAGTGTTGAGCTCATTTACTTTGTCATTTGCAATATTTTAAAATTTGGAAAATATATGTAAAAATTCAAAGTTAAAATGATGTATACCTGTTTGAAATAGCACTTTACTCTAAATATCATTTCTTGAATCATCAAGCCTAAAGATTTTTAAGTATATATATAACTATAAATATCCTTATACATATTTTTTCATTGTGATGATCATAGTAAAATTTTATGTTGTTCTGAATATTTATGAAAAATGAGCATAGTAATTAGAACTTTTAAAGATTTGTATAAAAATATTTGGGATATTTGACTTTATACATGCATAAATTTACATTTTATTTTCTCTTTTGAAGCAGCATTTTTAGAAAATCAACAAGAAAAAGGTAGATCTTAAAGTCTACCGTTTTGTCATCTAGAAAAAATTTTATTGCTAATGTGCCACGTGCCCATATACTGTTTATTTCCAAACTGAGGAACTCATGGGACTGATGTATTTTGTGGAATCAAGAACAAATTTGTAGTGGGATGATTCTACATATTAAATATTTCTTTCTACCACTGTAAGCTCTACTTTGGAATTGACTGAGTAGAAAAGCAGAAAAAAGTTGTCTAACTTTTGTAGATGTACTGTACCATCCGGCTCTATGTTCAGACTGTAATTTCACTAATAGATCAGATATTTATGCTAATATTTTCTTATTTCAAATGAAAAATAAAATGAGTTTATAGTCTTGTGTTTGGAAAGACATTTTTCCCTTGGATGAGGGGTTTGGACTGGATAGGTGAGCAGCCTGTCCAGGTCATGCTGCGAAGATTGGCATTTTATCATGTTGTAAGTGAACAAATGATTTACAAAAACCAAAACCCTTTGAGTACCTTCAATGTGCTAGTGATTATGCTCAGATCCTATAGTTCCTCTGTGTTGTCTCATTTAATCCCCATGGTAACCCTTATTATCACCATTTTGTAGATGTGGAAACTGAGGCATCCAGTTCCCTCAACTCTGTAGGCACTGCATCCAGTGCTTGGCTTGTGAAATCCTATAAAACTGGGATGCTGTTCTATGCTCAAGTCCGCATCCTGCCCTTTGTGGCTACTCCAATCATCTTCTGTGAGTTCAATAAGCCATTTGGAAACGGGCCCTCCCTTGGGTAGATAAAATGCTTTGGAGTATACTTCAGTTTTCCAATCAGTATAGAAGGGTAGATTCTAGATTGGAGATTTTAAGAGTCTTCCCAAGAGGTTCTATTCAAAACACTGCTTCCAGATTCAGTGGTTTAATTTACTGTTCATCTGTCCACGGATTCAGGCTTCTCCTTGGGAGCACTGTGGGTGGGAGTAGGAGATTGGGGAGAATGCTTGGTCCCAAAAGTGAGTTCCACTTTCCACATGACCAAAGTCGTGCTTTCTCTCTTGGGAGGTGAGTTCTTTAATTGCCTGTGATGATGAAAATGGTAATGTCTATTGGGCATTCACTTTCCTGATCCAATAGGTCTAACTCTGAAATTATTTGTTGAAATGAAATTGTGTGAATTCAGGGCAAAGATTTGAATTTCTTTTCCACACTCCAAAGTTTGTCTTTTTAATTTTTTTAACTCCATCAAGCAATAGATTTTTTGTATACCTGTTGCCAGAACAGCTACCAATGACAGATGACTGAGATTTTGTCTCATAGCACAAAAAAGACTTTAGTGAGAGGCATGGAAAAATATTAAATAATGATAAAAGGATTGACTTTTTTTTAGATTGAAAATATAGTTTATTTAGAAGTTAAATGTGTGTGTGTGTGTGTGAGAGAGAGAGAGAGAGAAAGAGAGAAAGAGAGAGATTGAGAGATTTGCCTCCCCAAGGTAGAGGAGGGGGCCAAAACTAGGAAAATATATATATGGCAGTCATAGCTTAAAGAACCACATGGGCACACCAGAGTTTAGCAAATCAGTGGCCAGGGATTCACATTCATAAAAAAAAATTATGGAATTTTTCAAACATACGACAGTAGAAAGAATAGTATAATGAATTTGATGTACCTATCCCCTGACATCTACAATCATCTACCCATTATTCGCCCCCTTGATGAAGCAATTTGAAGTATATTAACATGGTGACAGCACATGTTTTCCTTCAGCTGCCAGAAAGTAACCAAGCTTAGCAGGAATAATTTGTTCAGACTAGCAGGGGACACCTGTTGCTAGTCTCACCTATTCCTGTGGCACATCATTACCTGCAAAACGGATTGGGGCCCCTTTCTTGCTAAGGGATTTGAATGTCTGAATTGCAAATTCAAACCTCCTCCTTCCCTCCTCAGCCCTCTACGAATCTTCAGGTCTGCCCGACACCTGAGGACTGTGTCAAATAAGTGAAATGGGCTTTCCCCCCCACCTCACCCAGGAAAGTCAAACCAAGAAAAGGGCTTTTGAGGTCAAGATGAGAGTAATTAAGTAATTAATTATTACCATTAAGTGTCAGAGGTCTCTTTGAGGAGTCTGGTTTGAGCTGACACGAGAAAACTTAAGAATTAGCATTTTAAATGCAGTCTTTTGAAAGGTCTCCTGTGAAAATGTTCCTTTTGTGATGGCAAGTTAGGTTTTTTCCCACTGACAGGTGTAATGAAAAAGTTAGAGGTCCCAACCCTACGAAGGATGACGACCTCTGCTTATTCCTGGAGAGCTTGTTTTTGCAACTGGAGCTAGAACAGGGTCTGGGTGTGGGTCAGAGTGGAGAAGAGTCTGGGAGTGGGAGAAAGGGATGCGTGGTTACACACCTTTGTGTGATTGCCTGAGGTTCCAGCAGACACCCAAGGCCTCTGGGTCTCTAAATTTGCCACTCCCTGCCCGCACAGGGGTAGAGGAATCCAGATATCTGATTCTAAGAAGGGGAAAGGCTTTCTTAGAGCAACAGAACTTACAAGTCTGGCATGAGCAATCAGCACCCACACTGGAACTACGAGGTCACACAGAGCATAGCTCCTGCCATTGCCCCCCCACCCCCGACCCCTTCACTATACTCCGGTGCTCAGTTATTTTATCAGCTCCTCTGAGTACCAGACCTCCTCTCTCTACCCCCGACCATGGGGCATTTTGCGTTTGTTGATCTTGTGTTCACTTGCTTCTCATGTTTTGAGCCATAGTTTAATTGTCACTGCCCAGGCCGGGACGCAGTGACTCAAGGCTGTAATCTCAGCACTTTGAGAGGCCGAGGCGAGTGGATTGCCTGAGCCCGCAGGTTCGAGACCAGCCTGGGCAACTTGGTGAGATCTTGTCTCTACAATAAATCAAAAGAAGTAGCTGGGCGTGGTAGTGTGCGCCTCTAGTTTCGGCTACTTGGAAGGCTGGGGCAGAAGGAATGCCG